TGCTTTTGAGTTATGGTGTTGGAGGAGAATATTGAAAGTGCCATGGGCTGCCAAAAGAACCAACAGATCTGTGTTGGAAGAAGTGCAGCCAGAGTGTACCTTGGAGGCCAGGATGGCCAAACTTTGTGTCTCATACTTTGGACATATTGTCAGGAGGGACCAGTCGCTGGAGAAGGATATCATGTTTAGGAGGGTGGGGGGTCAGAGAAAAATAGGAAGATCCCCAGCGAGATGGAGCATCAATGGGCTCAAGAATGGGAACTATAGTGAGGTTGGCCCAGGATTGGGCAGTGTTTCTGTCTGCTGTGCATAAGGTCGCTATGAGTCGGTACCGACTCGATGGCACCTAACAACAACAACAGCAACAAGGAGGATCCACAGTGGGATCTGACTAACAGGTACAAAATGAGACAACTAAGAGACTACAGGGATGCCCTTCTCCAAGGGCTTCAAAAGGGGGTTCAAAAGGCTACCAACATAAGCAAAGTGGTTGAGGTTATAGGACACTGGGTGAGAGTCCGTGGACTTCTAGGAGAGATTGTGTAAGACATACGTAATCTACACTCCCTTCAACCCAGAGAGCCAAGATAATCAAAGAATGGTAAATATGGCCTTTGTGAGCCTGAGTACAGGAGACATTAAATAAAAACTACAGCAACTAAAGGGTTTTGCTGGCATGAATGCTTCTCAGCTCCTAGAAGTGGCCAACAAAGTTTTTTTTTAAAAATCTGGAAATAGAGAAAAAGAAGGAATGGAAGAAGAAAGCCGACCTCATTGCAGCTGCTGTATCTCAGACCAGACCACAGAGTGGAGGTCCCCTTGCCCAACCAACCGGGAGGCAGGGGCAGGAGAAGAGTGAGACCAAACTGCCCTTCCTTACGATTTAACCAGTGCGCCATCTGTTGGGAAACAGGCCACTGCAAAAAAAAACAATGAGTGTCCTCGCAAGCGACAGAATTTGGCAACCCTACAGAGATTGGGGCCCGAGAGAGATGCCACACTGTTCAATGTAGCAGAAGACTCGAGATCTTTAAGGACTGAGGCCGACTGGGCTCAAGGACTCCCCCTGAGCCCATGGTCTGAGTAAATGTAGGGGGACAAGAAGTAGATTTTCTTGAAGATACTTGTGCTGAACATTCGTTGTCAGCAGCCCTGTGGCTCCCCTCTCCTCCCAGCTGATGAACATAATGCGGGCAACCGGGGCTCTGACTTAACAATCTTTCTGCTTGCCCCGAAAGTGCTCCATCAGAGGTCATGGGGTAACTCACTAATTCCTATATGTTCCTCACTGCCCAGTTCTGCTACTGGGACGAGACCTACTAGGGAAGTTACAGGCCACCATTTCATTTTCCGATGAAGGTCAATTGGATTTATGCTTGCCTCGACCAAGGATGATCCTGACCCTTACCATGTCTCGTGAGGAAGAATGGAGGCTCTTTTTTAGAAAGTCTGGGGAGATTTTGAATCCAGAACTCTTCCGGAAATGGCCAGGAGTCTGGGCTGAAGATAACCCGCCCGGACTGGCAATTAACCAGGCCCCGGTGTGGATTGAGTTAAAACCTGGGGTCCAGCCAGTGAGTCAGAAACAGTAGCCCATTCCCTGAGAAGCCCTAGAGGGAATCCATACCCACCTGCAGAGAACATGGCATTATTGTCCTTTGCCACTCACCCAGGAATACCCCTTGTCCCTGTGAAGAAGCCTGGGAATTAGGACTATTGGCTACAGTAACCTTGCACCCGACCGTGCTCAACCCATATACCCTTTTAAGCCTACTTCCTTCACAAGGCTCTTGGTTCACTTGCCTAGACCTAAAAGATGCATTCTTTAGCATCAGACTGACACCTCAGAACTACAAATTGTTCGCCTTCCAATGAGAAGTCCCCCAAACAGGGGCCAAGACTCAGTAGGCCTGAACACAGCTTACAGACCTCAGAGTTTGGGTAGGGTAGAGCATATGAATCTAACACTAAAAACAGGGATTAGTAAATTATATTAGGAAGCAAGGCTAAATTGGGTTCAAGCCTTGCAACTGGTCTTGTTCAGGGTCCTCTAAAGGGTCTTGTTCAGGGTCCTCACCCATTCTTTGCCATCTTCTGGGAACCCCCAAGAACTAGGGGAAACAACTACACCAGCAATTAGAGGCTCTAGGAAAGGTAGCTAAGAACATTTCTGCATGTGTAATTGATAGATCCCCAGTTAGTCTGTTTGTATCTGTTTACCCTTTTTGTCCAGGAGACCAAGTTTGGGTTAAGGACTGGACTGGAATCTAACTCCCCTCAAAACCAGGTGGAAATGTCCCTTCACCATCATTCGGACCATGCCAACCGCAGCAAAGGTAGAAGGAATCCCTGACTGGATTCACCACAGCAGGCTGAAGAGAGCCTTGCTGCAGTGGACAGTGGAAACAGAACCTGCTAACCCCTGCAAGGTGATGTGAAGATGATCAACATGCCCAGCTCCCACCACAAACCGGGAGTTGGCTGGTCCGTGTATACCCAAAGCCTGAGGATTCTTTTCCTAGCAAGCCTAGCAGCTTACCTGGCCTCAGCGGAAAAAGGAGATGGTGGTTGTGACATGTGCATCCAAACCACCTGGGTGGGCCGCACATCACCAGAATTTTGTTGTTTTAGAGATACTCTACCACTGCGAAGGCACTCAGGCAGGGAAATGTATTATAACTAGATTCGGTTCTCCATATGTGCTACCCCAGGAAAGACACATGTTTGTTATGACCCAGCTGAGCCCCTTACTCATGTCGTCTTCAAAATTAGGGCTGTGGTATTTCTGCCCGGTTCCAACGCTGGCCCCATTGTTGCTCAAACTGAGGTAAAGGGAATCCCCAGCCAAGCATTGGAATTCGATGCTTGTCATGTCATTAGTTACTCCTGGGGCCTTACATGTAGCTCACTAAGCAGGGAAAGAAGCTACATGGTAGAAAACAAGTAACTTTGTGGAATAAGCCTGCTCTGTTCCATTTCATGAGCCTTATGGAGCTGTGTCAAATAGGCCACCTGGCAAAAACCAACAAAGAACACCCAGGTGCTTCTTAAGAAAGGAGTAGCCGCGTCTAGGTGCCAAAGCTTTCAGTGTAACCCCTTAGAATTAACCATCACTCAGCCCCCAAATCCGCAGTGGCAAAAAGGAGTACAAGTGTTTCTAGGGACTGATGGGAAGGGACTGAATCCCAGCACTTTCATTTTCATTAAGGGGCAGGTCCAGAGTCGTCTGGAGAGTTTTCCTGGTGTTTCCTTCGTTCTATGAAGAAATCACCTACCTACCCACTTCTTGAAGGTCCACAGTCAATTGAAAACCTCTTTCCTAAACGTAACCTCATGCTTTGCGTGTGGAGGTACATTAACGGGATCTGTGGTCCTGGGTAGTCCATGAAATAGAGCCAGATGTTTAGGAAAAAGAAACGACTGTCCCAACTCCTGAGACTCCTCCTGCTCAAACTTTCACTAAATTAATTGCTGCCTAGAAATAGATAATGCAGGAAAGATGATCAGTGAGATACGGAAAAATCAGAAAAATTGCTCCTGTCCCTGTGCAAACCTAGAACAGGTGGAGTCGCCAGAGCCTGTGGGGAGGATGTTCTCTGCCTTTGGGGATTTCAGAATCCTTATAGGAGGAGTCCTAGTCTTGTTTGGGTTTGCATAATTCATGCCTCTATATGCTCCATCCACCATTGAGACAATTGTCAGTCAAAAGACAGCATCCCAGATGCTGTATATGAAACATTATCAACTCCTGCAAGAGCAGGCAGACGATGAGACACCAAATAATTATGTTATGGAGTCTCAAAGCAGGGAATGAGGGAGGAGGCCCCTGCCCATAAGA